GGGATCGCTCCGTGAAGGCCTTTGATTTCGAGGGAAGGGGGGTCCTGGCTGTCCGGGAAGGTTTCTGTTTGCCCTGGGGCTTGGATGCCACCCCGGAGAGTGAAGTCATCCTGACTGACTCAGAGGCAGGTGCTCTCTACCGCTTGACTGCTGACTTCAGGCAGGGGAAATTAAAGAAGTGTCAGATGATCCAATCTCAGCTGATCAGCCCAAGAGGAGTTGCAGTCTCCCAGACCTCGGGTGCCATTGTGGTAATAGAGCACCTGAAAGCTCAAGGACCGAACAGTGGCAGCACTCGCATGAAGATATTCAGTGCCGAGATGGATCTCATCGGCCAGATGGATAGCTTCGGTCTGAACCTCATTTTCCCCTCTAAAATATATACTACAGCTGTGGCCTTTGACAAAGAGGATCGTGTTATAGTAACAGATGTCTGTGGCCAGGCCGTAATATGCTTAGGGAAACCTGAGGAGTTTCCCATCTTTAACCCTCTAATTAGCCACGGGCTTTCTTATCCTGTGGGACTGACTTACATGGCAAACAATTCCCTTGTCGTTTTAGACAGTGGTGATCATTCAATAAAAATATATAGCTCCACGTGAATGGGTTTAGATGCTGGCTGCTATGGGTTCAAGCTGCTTTTGGCCAAAAAGCATGCAAAGTTCTGATGTTAGTAGGCGCGTAGGAAGGAGGTATTTTCTGGGCTTTACCTAGAGTGAAATTGCCCTTTTTGACCAACATGCTGTGCTTCCTGCAAGACTTACATCACCTCTCTTGCCTGCCTGGGGAGAAGACCTGGCTGTTGCAGGCCGTAGTCCACAATGAATCAACCAAATCAATAATTTGGCATTTTAAAACTATTCCATGCCTTGACAACCAAACGTTTTTGGTACTTTTTGACAAGTAATAACAACGACATTTGGAATGGAGTAATCAAAGACTGGCACCTGGGAGAGAAAGAGATGCATCATTTGTTTGTGTTTCCCAACACGTAGTTTCTGTTGTTCTTCATTAATTATAGGTACATTCATGAGAGTGGCAGAATATCTGTTTCCAGGATTTGTGCACAAGAAAGGAGACTGGCTTGACAAAACGATAGGAGAAATGGAAGCTTCAGTTCAAGGTCGCCTGGATCCAGCTAAGATCATTGCGATGGAGGAGCTACCACTGGTAGTGAGCCACGTGAAGTGAATTGGTGCCCAAAGCCTGTTTTTTCCATACTGGGGAAGCGCATCTCTGGGAGCGCTCTTCTCCGTACAAGTTTGTACCCACCTTTCTTAGGGTTGTACTGGAGCACTTGGTCTTCCTGTGTAATGCACAAGTCTGTGTCTTTACCTAGACGTAGTTTGGTGTGTGGTTACCATCATGGGCAGCTTTCCCTAAAAGCCCCTTGAAGTGTTATTGTTTAGACCGTAATACTTCTGCGTATATAAAATTGAGTTGGCTGTGCTGCCAACACAGCTATGCTTGGGAGGTTTCCAGTACTGCCTGTCTCTGTCTTGTCATTAATATGGTACTTTTGTGCTCCAAACTCCAAGATTCAACTGAAAATTGAAACGTCGGTGAGAAGTAATAGAGAAAGGAGGATATAATCCTCATTTTTTTTTCCTAGCTTCCAAATAAGGTTTTGTTGATTGTGAATGCACAGGTGGTTTAGATCAGTTTGTATTTTCTTGAAAATGCTTTCACTCTGGACATGAGTTCTGTTGCCTTATTTATTGCACAGTAGAAATTAAGGTATATCTGATTTATTTTGAGAAGGATTTAACACCCCCACTAGAAGTCACTGCTGCGTTTTTAGGCATTTACCTGCTGCTAAAATGGTTACTTAGTGCAGTGTTAAAAGGAAGTTAGATATAAATGTAAATGCTATCTGAGGTAGAGACAAGTAGGTTAAAATGGCATAAAACTTTTGTGGTAATTTCTTTTATTTACTCACAGAAATCATTAATATTAACTAGCGTAGTTTGAAATTCACAGGCAATCTTTCTATTGGTAAATTTTTAATCTGGTTTTTGGTCTGACTTTAGGGCATTTAATAACTGCATGTGTTGCTGCACCGATGATTTGCCAAATACTTTAAACTGGAGCAGTTAGCCCTCTAATTCAGGCAATGTATTAATGTGTCTTATGTCAACATTTATATAAACAACAAAAAAAATCTATTAAATGCAGCTATTTGTAAGGGTTAGTTGAACAGTGACCTGCCAATAAAGTGTGATTTGCTTGTATATTGAATAATTTAGTGAATACTCCTTCTGTCTTTTTATCGTGGGTGTCTCTGTTACAATCCAATTTCTCTATTGCGGTTGCCCTGAGGACGGTTTCTTTTTTTTTATTTGGAGGTATCCTAAAGTTGTTGTAGGGTCATTTGTTGCTACTGAAAAATATATGGACCTGCACATTTGGTCTTTTCCAGCCTTCTCTACTGCCAGGCCACACATTAAGTGCCTTTGTGGGACAGAAATATTCTGTGGCTATTTTGCAGCGGGAGGTGTACAGCCTAGAACAGGAGCCTTCTTGAGGGATCAGGAAGGAAATTTACTCAATGAAGCAGCCCTGCAGATTATATATTCCTTTTTAGGTGCCAAGGAGACGTCTGTCTTTGAGGGATATAAAAACAATTAGGCAACACTTCCTTTGGGGAACTGCTGTGTTTCAAGACGCATGCAACACCATCGATGCTGTATTCATACATAATTAATAGTTTATTGCAGTAGCACTTCCTCTGAACCGTCGGCTGTGAGCTTTCATCTCCTCCAACCTCTGTGTGCACCAGGAGCTTGGTTTTGCTACTGAGCTCATGGATGGGCAAATTTCCTTGTGCCTACTGCCATGTAGGCAACTTTCCAGCAGCATAAATGCCCGTTTTTAAATATTTGACTCATGCTCTTTTAGAATCCACAAAATCTCCCGTTGTTTCCCGTTCTGCTCCTGTCTGCTTTGGTACGTGACTGGAAATCACCTGATGTTTGGGTTTGTAAGCAAAATAAACTTTGTGCCTTTATTCTCCCTAGTTTGCTTTATGCCATCTCTTGGCTCTGCTTTACTACCTGCTGAAAGCACATGTAGACTTTTTCTGTGACTGATGTCACTATTTTCCTTTTCCTACAAAGCTTGGTGCTTAGTGTTGTACAACACTGCATCAAAGACACCCTTACATTCTCTCTTAATTCATTTGATGCAGGTGCCCACATTGAGAAGCCATAAAAACCTTTTTTTATTGTCATGGTTTGATGGGGAGGGGGAGGTTCTGGTGGCAGAAGCTGGCCGCCTGATCGGACTCCCATCCCCCTCAAGGCTTGAGCCAATCAGTGCCTCCGCAAATTGCCCTATTTATGTTGGGACAAAGGAACCGGAAAGGTGTGCCTTTGCCCAGGAGCGAAGAGAGGGGAGGAGGGTGCTGCCCCCCTTCCTGGCACCCGGCTGGGCGGCGGCCCGGGCCGGGACAGTGCCACCCGCTGAGGATGGCGGCAGCAGAGCCACCGGGGGAACTCAGGGAGAGCCCTGCTCCCGGAGTGCCTGCCGGGCCGAGTTCACCCAGAGAGGACTGAGATCTGAGAGAAACGGTCACACCGACACCAGGTCAGCGAAGATGGAACGGGACGAGGTGTGCCGGAGCTGAGTTTCCCCTGCAACCGGTGGTGAGATGGCTAGTGGCCCCTTTGCAGCAGAGATGCCTGGGCCTGAGGACGGTACGCATCTAGAGTCCGTGGGACGACCCCCATCGGTGGGGAGGTGTTTTGTTTAGAGGAGAAGCCTGAGCCTGAGGACAGTCGTGAAGCATGG